CGCGTCGCATGAAAACCCTGGCACTGGTGAGAACACTGAGCGTTCGGGTAAAATGATTGTTGTTGTTGTTGTTGTTGTTGTTGTTGTTTGTTGTCGTTGTCCCACCCGCAACCCGCCCCGCGACCCACCCGCGACCCACCCCGCGACCCACCCCGCGACCCACCCGCGACCCACCCGCGACCCACCCGCGACCCACCCCGCGACCCACCCCGCGACCCACCCCGCGACCCACCCCGCGACCCAACCCGCGACCCACCCCGCGACCCCCCCGCGGCCCACCCCGCGACCCACCCGCGACCCACCCGCGACCCACCCGCGACCCACCCGCGACCCACCCGCGACCTACCCCGCGACCCACCCGCGACCCACCTTCGACCCAAACCACGTTCAAGGTACAAACCACAATTTTCGGCGCCTGCGGCGGGCTTTTTTGCATTCCTTCCAAGTGGAGAGCCCGCGACACATCCCGTGACCAACTCGCGACCAACCCGCGACCCAAACCACGTTCAGGGTACAAACCACATTTTTCGGCGCCTGCGGCGGGCATATTTTGCATTCGTTTCAGGTGGAGAGCCCGCGGCCCACCCGCGACCACGTTCAGGGTACAAACCACATTTTCGGCGCCTGCGGCGGGCATCCTTTGCATTCGTTCCCTGTGGAGAACCCGCGGCCCACCCGCGACCCAAACCTCGTTCCGTGTACGAACCAATTTTTTTGGCGCTTGCGGCGGGCTGCTTTTGCATTCCTTCCAGGTGGAGGTGGAGAGCCCGCGACCCACCCGCGACCTAAACCACGTTCACTGAACAAACCAATGCCGCACAAGCGCGGCGGCGGATTCTTGCATGCCGTCTGAGCCCGCAAGGACCTCTTCACGCCCCGCACATCCACGCCAGCCCGTCCAGCAACTTTGCCCTGGCGAGTTGCCTTGATCAGAGAAGGCGGGGAGCATAAAGTGGAAAAAAGGATTGCGTTGCAGTTATCTTGGGAAAGGAGGGGGAGGCAGGATGAGTAAACAGGGGACGAGGAGAACGTGGAAGAAGAGAGGATGTAAGGAGAACGTGGAGAAAGAAAAGGAGGAGGAGCAGGAGGACGAGGGGGAGGAGGGGGAGGAGGGGGAGGAGGAGGACGAGGAGGGGGAGGATGGGGGATGATGATGATGATGGACGACAATGGGAGGACGATGATGGAGGCCGATGAGGGGGAGGACGACAATGGGAGGACCATGATGAAAAGACGAGGGGGGGAGAGGGAGGACGAGGAAGAAGAGGAGGAGGAGGAGGAGGACGAGGTGGAGGAGGAGGATGACGATGACGATGAGGACGAGGAAGAGGAGGAGGAGAAGGAGGAGGAAGAGGAGGAGAAGGAGGAGGAGGAGGAGGTGGAGGAGAGCGCCATCGACGAGGAAGGTGGGGGCCACGAGGTCCGCCGGCTCGACGACGCCCGCGTCGCCCGCGCCCGCCCCCTCACTCTTATCCGCAATTGCGGGGTGCTACGTATATATATATATATATATATATATATATATATAAATGTATAGATGACGCGAGCCACTCACCGCACCGAACAGAGGTTTCAGAAGACACGCGTGCGACCCGACCTCCGCAACGTCGGGTGCTCCGGGAGGTGTTTCTGGGGAAGGGCTCGCGGCTGCGAAGGACAGCACGTTGCACGGCCCAAGGGGACAAATGCGCTACGAGCCGTTCGAGAGGAGCACGGTAGCGACTCGCGTTTTTGTTGTTTGGGCGATCAGTGCATTGCACAGACTGGGTGGACGGGGCCTGCATTGTCTGGTCCCGAAGCGCGCGGGTGCTCGAGCGGGGTCCATTCGCGCTCCGGGGCAGCCCAAACAACATCCCCGACGCCGCGCTTTTCTGAGCCAGAGCGCCGCAGATTGGAAGAGCACTTGCTGGAGATGGTCGCAGTGTCCGAATTCCCGCGATGGTGTGCCAAAGCGAATTCAAGTGTAGAAGATGTTGCAGTGAAGATGTGCTTCAGTAGATCGCCAGCATACTTCTGGCAGCAAGGCCCCAGCGGCCTCAATGTGATAATGTACCTGTCGATTCTTCAGGTGGAACGCGCACACGCATGCGACGAAGCTGATACTTCTGGTGTAAATGGGGCGACAGCATACAACAAAGCTGGAATTCACATCTGCGTCTGGATCACCATGCGACAGCCCATCTGGTGTTGAGTTGTTTACGTCTTGCCGTGGACGTCGTGTTTCATGACGTTTCCTATCTGGCAAAGTATAACGACCGCCATGCAGGGACACACAGCCAACGACTTCCTTCTGAGCAGCGTGCGTGGCACTCGCGAGCAGTCAGAATACCATGCTGAGGCATTCTTACAACCATATTCGTCGATTCACTCCGTCAATCGGAAAACGAAGGCCCCTGCCCGCGATCCCCCGACCGAGAAACCGTACACACCACGATGCAGACAACCATTGAAACACCGTTTGATTTGTGATTGAATCGAGCTTTGTTTAGTATGTGTTCGGGATTATGTTATGGTGCACCCTTCCTTGCGACTTTGAGTTTAGAAGTGCATGCGCCTCTCTTTGTCAGATCAGCGAGCTAAGCGATATCTGTTGGATTTGATTGCCGTGGTGCCTCTAGGTCTGTGGGGGCAAATCGGCTTTAGACTTCTTGTGAAGGCCTCGCGGCCGATGCCGCCGACCCTGAAGGCGGGACCCCTCGGGACCCCCGCTGGCGAACCCCCTCCGGGTCCCGCTGGGACCCCCGGGGGGGGGGGCATTCTGACCTGGAGCCACCCCCTCCGCCACATGCCGGACTTCCTCCGGGACCCCCGTTGGCGACCCTCCCCAGCACGGGGGGGCCACCCCCTGTCCCCCCTTGCCCACAGGGGGGGGGACGAGGGGGGGGAGGAGGAGAGGGGCCCTGAGTTCCCTCTGTCCCCCCCTGGACCCGCCAAGACCCCAAGGGGGGGCAGTAATCTAACCCGGGAGCCCTCCCCCATACCCCCCCCCCCGTCACCCCGTCAGGGAGGGGAGAGAAGGGAGGCAAATCGATCTATTGGCGACGTTTCTTGTTTCTGTTCGTTCTTTGGTTTCCCTGGGATTGGCGACGACGACAACGACAGCGTCTCACACACGCCGAAGAATCGGCGGATTTGACGCGTGGGGATCTGGGGATGTTTGGGATCCTCGAGGGAGTATATCTGACTGTTGGGGGGCTTGGGGGTGGGGCACCGACAGTTACCCGCAGAGCATGTAACTACATCTTGCCGGATTCGTCAGCCATGAGACATCATCCTCCGTGGCGCACAGAATCTCGGGCCGAACGAAAGGGGGGGATAGGGAAAGGGGGGGTTCGAAATCTGCGGCATGCAGTTTGGTTCGGCTCTGCCGCCGCCCATTCCTCAATATGTGGGCACCTCTCAGCGCCGGGAAGAGCAGCTACGTGAGCTGATTCTCCCCCCCCCCCTTTGCTACTCCAAATCCCTTATTAATCGACCCCCCCCCAAAAAAAAGCACCCCCCTCCACATGCGACCTAATATTCCGGACCCCCCTCTTCCACGGGGCGCCTTGATTAAGCGGACCCCGTAAGTTCCAATCCAAAGAAAGCTCTCTAATAAACCGGATCCCTCCATATACAAAAAAGGCGCCTTAAAAAACCGGACCCGGGGGACGATTAATAAGGTATTTGGAGTATCCCCTCCTTGCGCCCGGCGCAGAGAACCATTGGGATGCCCTGCAGGGCCACGGGGGTCCTTCTGTTAGGCCTTGCAGGGCCTGGGGGAGGCTCTGCGGGGCGATGGGGAAGCAGCTGGAGGCCTTGCGAGTGGTGTGGCGTGCAGTCGATCTGGAGGAGGAGGAGGAGGAGGAGGACGATTAAAGGACGATTAAGAACCAAACTACAAATCTCACCGATGAGCAGCTGGCGATTGACAGGGAGCTTCCCCTGTCGGCGCTCTGTGCGCCAAGAAGGGCTTACGTGCACATTGACACGGCCCGCACCGAGGGGCAAGGAAAGGGGGTCTTCAGCCCACCGCAGCCAGCACGCTGGGCCAGCACGCTTGCCACCTACATTCAGTTTTCCGAGCTGCGTTCGCCCCGTAGGGCTCAGATCACGACACCATCGTGCCGCCCCAAGCCACCCGAGGGGGCGCCACTCCCATCGGGCGACTCCGCCCCCCCACGCACGCCAGGGCGGGCACCCTGGCCGTGGGAGGAGGAGGAAGAGGAAGAGGAGGAGGAGGAGGAAGAGGAGGAGGAGGAGGAGGAGGAGGAGGAGGAGGAGGAGGAGGAGGAGGAGAGGAGGAGGAGGAGGAGGAGGAGGAGAGGAGGGGGAGGAGGAGGAGGAGGAGGAGGAGGAGGGAGGAGGAGGAGGGGGGAGGAGGAGGGGGGAGGAGAAGGGAGGAGGAGAAGGGAGGAGGAGGAAGAGGAGGAGGAGGAGGAGGGAGGCCAGGGGTGGGCCTCGACATGGGGGGAGTGTGTGAGAACCGACTACGTAGTGAAGCTGCCGAAAGGAGCTTCCATAGTCGTTGACAGGAAGTTTTCAGGACAAATACAAGATCGCTTTCGCTGACGGGTGCTGCAATTCCAGTGGTTTCCAAGCGTGTTGCAAAAATTCAAGCTTGGATCACTATAAAGTTTACCCTTCAAGCCAATGTGTGCACAGGCATGTTTCCTCAAGATTGCCGCGACGCGGCCCCCGAAGCATCGAATATGTCCATCCGTACTCGCCCTGGCTGAGCAAGGTTGACCCCTGGTATCGGGGCATTCGGCGCCGTTTCCTGGTGTTCCTGCAGACTGCGGCTCCCCCTGCGCCGCGCCAGTCCAGGCTGGTGGCCCCCCAAACAGGGCCAGCCCTTACGTATCACGTATTTGCCGTCGGATGTGCGTTCTCGAGGCTGGCTTTTGGTAGACGGCGTCGTTGGTCGGGGCGGTGTCTGAACCTGTGCCTGGCACTGGGGCGGAGTTGCGCGCGCGTGACTTGTCTCTTTCAGTGCGCCGTGGCCCGGGGCACCGAGAGAGGGCGGGGGGGGAGGGGGGAGGGCGACCCCCAATCTTCCCTTTCATCGCCGAACGGGGCCTGGGTGCGGCATCGGTCCAGTCAAAGTCAGTGCTTTCCCCTCGTGGGCCAGCCCCCCCCCATCGTTTCCCTCCCTTCAAGCGGTGCGCTGGTCTCTTGCGGTGCTGATCGCTGCTGCGAGGTGTGCTAGGATGGGGGGCGGCGCGCACGTCGGTTGGGCGGCCGCTGCTCTCCCCGCGAGCGCCACGCCAGGGCCGCTGGTTGGGATCCCGCGCGCCGCCCCCCGCCGCCAGAAGCAGTCGCGGACACTGAACGGCGCGAACAGGGGCGCGGAGCTTACTAGGCCGCTCTGCTGCTCGATCGATGGAGGGCGTCGGTGGAGAGGGGGCAGGGCTCAGAGGAGGACGAGGTGCCGATGCCTTGCCTCGTCTTCGGCCGATTGGGCCTCCGAGAGGCCTTCGTTGCCACCGCCGACTCCGCCTCAAAGTTCTGGTGTCTTTTCGTCCCGCCAAGGGCGAACAGGGAGATGGCTGTACCTCGCGCGATTCGTGTACGACCTGGCTCCCTGGTTGGACGGCCTGTGTTTGTGGGCGTTCCTGGAGCACTTGCTGTCGCAGTGAGCGGCCTCATGCCGTTTAGCCGTAGCCGATTTGATACTGGCGTGTGCCCACGACATTAGCCGATGTGACACTCGCGTGTGCCCACGACGTTGGTTTGCCCACTTGCGCTTCCTCCATTCGGAGTGCTAAGCTGTGGCTGCAGCTTGCTGCAAAGCGCCCCCCCTGGGTGTATCCTGGGCCATCTTGGGAGCTTCACTCGATGCCTCCTGGGGTGGGTGGGCAGACTCGTCTCGGCCACATCCATGCCTAACCCCTCCAGGACACAGTTTCGAGACTCGTTTGGTTTTCTCGACGCTGTCTGCCAACTGTCGAGGGGGCCACTAGTGAGGGTTCGAGATTACTCTGGCGAGTGAAGCAAGGTACTCACTCTCGCCATGAACGCATCCCCCCGAGGGCCATGATCCAGCCCGGCGCTCCCAATGGATACATTCCACCCGTGTCTTGTAAAACGTCTTGGCAATCTTCGATTCCGCCTCTCCTCTATTTTTTGTTCAATGGTTTTGCAGACCAGTCCTGTGCACATTATGTACAGACACTCGATGCCCTCATTCTCGAGCAACCGACTGGTGAGGCACAGCGCGATCAAGAAGTCCATGATTGAACCACGGCACATCTCATCGACGAGCTCGATGACGGTTTATATCCCGCGTCGTTTGATGTTTTGGTGTTGCCGTTCTCCACAAAGAGCTATCAGCGTTGATACTAGAGACGCTGTGGGTTGGAGACCGAGTTAACACCACAGCCACAGTTAGGGCTGATTACTCCACCCTACCCTCGGATAGTTGTCGTATCACCCTGACGCCTTGTCTCTTAACCTTCAACACGTGGGGTGAGCACCGAGACCCAGCAATCTCGTTGTGCAGAGCACGGAATCCTGACTCCAAGCGATGGTATGCCAGGGTGTCTGTTGCAACACGTAGCCGGACAGATCTTGATCCGTTGAGGTTTGATGTTGAACATGCCACGTAGAGCGCCACATCATTTCGTGCAAGAAGGAATCCGCGATGTGCAAAGTACCGAATTTGAGTCCACCCGATGGTAGGCCAGAGCTCCGCATTGAGGAAGCATGGTGTGCTTGCAAGTCGAACTGAATTGTCACAATACCACCTTGGCACGATGATTGTACGACCTTCGCTACCGTCCAAATAACACCTCACCAGGTATGGGAGCACAGTCGTTTAGAAGTGGTGGTTCCAACAATCGATTATTTTCTGAACGTTTCACGCCACGGCATCCGCCACCGTCACAAGCCACAGATTTTTCCAGGGCGTTGCATGTGCTCTGTCGGGGCGCCCTGGGCACCATGAAATCGAATCACCCGTCTCCAGGTCTTCAGGGTCCTTCGACGACCTTGCCGTATAGTCAAGACGATGAAATTCGGACCACTTTGGGTTAACGAGGGACTTTGGTTGTCCGGCCGTTTCTAGAATCTAGGTTAGAGGAACCTATTAGTGGCCGAGGCTAGCCGTGACAATAACGAATCCTTTTCGTCCCTCATGTGGCGCTCCCGATGGTACTTAGCACCATGGCTGTAATCTTCACCTCGCCATCCATGATGCGCGTCCTCCCCCTCCCCGTGGTCAGTCTTCTTTATCATCCTTTTTACTGCTGCCTCCGAGCCACCAACGTCGCTTCTCCTCCCGCTGCTCATCCTGCCCCTCGTCTGCCTGCTCTCTCTCTCGCTCTCCATGACCGGGCGCTGGCCTCTTCTTTCGCCTGGTTGGAAGGATGCTCCGCGACCTCATCGCGTCCTACAACGAGGAGCGCTCTTCGAAGGTGAAGACCATGGAGCAGGAGCTCGAGGAGTGGACCCGAGCAGGAGGAGGATGGTGTGGGACGAGGACGAGGGGAATGAGAGAGGATAACGATACCAGGGGGGGGGCAGAGAAAGTGAGGCGATGGCGGGGCCAGCTGCCAGGGTGAAGTCGTGGCGACGGTCCGGGTAGACCGGGGCAGCGGTGCAGAAGCGAGGATGTGAGCGTTCTGCGGCCAAGGGAGCCGTACTCACTGGATACAGGCGGCAGGCATGAGCAGGGCGACCCTTCGCTAGCAGGGTGACTCTCCTGTCCGCCTTCATGCCGGCATCAGAGGGCTTACAAGTGGTAACACATGGCCACGCAGGAGACCACCAGACGAGACGGCGGGCTCGAGGATCGTCTCGCCACCGGTGTCCTGACATAGCCGTTTCGCCCGAGAGATCCCCTCCATTTCGCTCTGGAGCCGCTCTCTCTCGCCCCGCCTGCCGGCGACGTGTTGGGTCCTGACGGCCACGATCCCCTGGCGAAGAAGCACGCTGCGCTGCGCGTGTCCGCCGCACCGCCGCGGCCTCCCTTTTGGAGAGCGTGCGCCGCGGTGCCCGGGTGGCCGTGCTCGCAGCCCTGCGGCACAGCACGGCCGCGGCCCCTTGCAGAGCACGCGCCGCGGTGCACGCGGCCGTGTCTGCAGCCCTGCCGCGCGGCCACGGCCCCTCGCGCAGAGAACACCGCGGTGCGCACGGCGGTGCTCTCGCCCCCGTCGCACGGCGACGGTCTTCTCTACAGAGCGCGTTGCGGTGCGCATGGCCGTGGCAGTGCACCTGCCACGCGGACGCGACGACGTGGTACAGCTGCGCGACGTTGCAGCTGGCCGTGCCCTCACCCCCGTTCGCACGGCCGCGACGCCTCGTTCAAACCTGTGTTGCAGTGCACATGGCCGTGCTCTCACCCATGGCACGCCTGTGAGTCCCTAGGAACCCATGTGAGTGGCCGTTCTCATTAGCCGACCTCCAATTCCTCGACCCGCCTCTTCACCTCTGCTGCTGCTGTCAGGGTGCTTTGCTGGGGTTGTTCGTCTCCACCCGCGACGGGCGTCAGAAGACGCGGCACCCCCCAAAGGATCCCAACGAGCAATGCGCAATATGATATAGGAGTTGTGTACATTGGATTCAGAGTTGTGGCTCGCACTTGGGCGAGGGCGCCATTCTGAAACTGAGGCCAAGGCTCCAGAGGGGAACACCTGATTGAATCTTCGGAATCGGATTGGACGATCCACATGAAAAACCGCCGTTCGAACTTCTATATGTTCAAAGTGGTTTTCGAGAGAAAAGCTGCCCCCTCTGGCTGGATCCGAAGAGAGAGAGAGAGAGAAACAACAAATGTAGCATTCATATTTCGTATTTGTGGAGGAGGGGAGGGGGAGGAGGAGGAGGAGGAGGAGGAGGAGGAGGAGGAGGAGGAGGAGGAGGACGAGGGGGTGAGGAGGAGGAGGAGGAGGACGAGTACCAGGGTGGGGGAGTGGGGGATGATGAGGCAAGTGGTCACAGTGCGGAGGAAGCTCACGCTTGCGGGCGCGGACGCATACACAGGGTCGTCCTGGGCACGTGTGCGCAGGTTCTCGCGGCACGGCTGGGAAAGCAACGCAAACGAGTGTGCCCTTTTGGATAATTGAAAGGCGCGAAAGAGGGAGCGGGGGGAGAGGGAGGTGGAGAAGCGGTGAGAGGGGAAACATGAGTAGTGAGATACGGAGATATATGAAACGTGGGAGAAGAGGGATCGAGGAGCATGGACGGCGGGAGGGGGGAAGAGAGTGGAGAGAGCCTCAGAGTCGGCAGGAGCAAGCAACGCTGCGGAAGTGGAGGGGGGAGCGAGGAGGAAGTGACGCCAGATATGCACGGCCATCGATGGCGACGGGACGGCAGAGGAGGAATGATGACGGAGATGAGGTCGAGGGATAGGTTGGGCGAGGGAGGAGGAGTGGAAGGAGGGGGAAGAGGAAGAGGAGGAGGGGCACGGGTGCATGAGAAGAAGGAAGGGAATGATGATGAGGGCGAGGAGTGGGAGAACAATTGAGGAGGAGGAGGAGGAATAGCCCAGGAGGCATTTGATGAGGTGGGGGCGGATGGGTGTCAAGCTTCATGTCAGAATCAGCAGAAAGTTTGCCCGTACATGCGTTCCTTGAGCCAGTGGTGAATAACCGCAGACTGGCACGCGGAACAGGATGTCACCGATATGATGCGTGACAACATAAGCAAGGCAGCCAATTTGGAGATTCATCAAACCGATGTGCCACATGCCATTGACGTTTTGCCCGTATTGTTCAGCGCATTCCGATCACATTGCCAGCATTGTCCTCGGACTTGGCGGTGATTGTTTGTGTTTGCAATTGATGGGTCACCGAGTTCCCAGCGTTCTTTTCTGTGACGTGTCATCCGTTTTCAGACCTCCCTTCAGATTCAATGTGCAGTTTGTAGCGGGATGGTTGCATTGCGGCATGCGTGTTGCAGCGGGATATCGGCACCACGGTTGCATAATTGGTTGTGTTTTTGTTGTGAGCCGCAGGTCATGGAGAGAGGTGAGCGAATCGAGTCTCTCATCGACAAGACATCGGCGTTGAAGTCTGAGTCG